TTTATTAATTTAAAAGCAAGTTATGATAAAGATTCGATATCACATTGTAATGGAATATTTTCAATGTAATGATGAAAAATTCCTAGTCATGTCGTTTCCTTTTTATTTTTTCAAATTATACTTTATCTTAAAAATAAACTTCATCGATTTACTTATAATCAAATTTCATATATCGAATTTCGTTAGATATAACATACTTCTCAATGTATTTATTCATTCTACATTAAGCTTTATATACTTTGAATTTCGAATGATTGTTGAAAGAGTCAATATCACCTTTTATATTCTGTTTTTAATCTTTTCGACCTTAACTTCAAAATAATACTAAAGAAAAATACTTAATTTCAATAAATAGATTAATTTCATTGATAAATACAAAGAAAAAACAAACTATTAATCTCAATCATTTTTTGAAAAAAATTTCTCTTCGAAATAATTGTTAATTTATATAGAATGTATCTGTTTTATTTTATAAATATAATATTTTATAATGTTAATCTTAAAAACAAAGAATATAATATTACCTGTTCTTCCTCGATATTTTTCTTCGAGTAAATATGCATATGGTCGAAAAAGATCAAAAGGTAATCTAGCTGATTGATAATTAGCTCGATTAAATTGTGGTAAATTTTTAACAAATTCTAATACAGTTATATTAATCCTAAACATAAAAAGAAAAAGATTATTTGAAAAATAAAAATTCAATTGTAAAGAATAAACATACATTTTATCATCAACATATTTTATAATTGAGTTTCCAATATCAAAATGTCTATCACGATGCCATTGATAAAGTAATGATGTTTGAGAATTTTCTTCGTCATAATCTGGTATTTCATTATCATCAAGATCATTTTCATAGAAATAATCATTTAAATTTTTATAATCAATTAATTCATCATATTGTTTTATAGGATTTTTTTTTCTCCATAAATCATATTTAGCAAGTATATCAAATCGATAAGAATTTTCATCAAGATCATCAACAGTTACATTAGAAAATTGATTAGATGTACCAAATAATTCATTCGTTTCTAATGGTAATTCATAAGCAAGACGAAATTTTTCTGATGCATGTCGTAAAACCATTAATTGAGAAAAAATTGTACCTTTTCCACGTGCACCCCATCCCTATTTTTATATAAAATTTTTAAAAAAATGAAAACTTCTTTTTCTTTTTTTGTGTCAAAATTTTCTATTACTATTCTTGGATCAGAAAAATCTGGTAATTCTGTAAAAGCAAAGCCAACTATTGTTAATATAATTGAAATAAA